TAATAAGGAAATAAAAAATAAGTAAAAAAAAATACCTCAAGACAAATGTTAATAAAGACATAGCCTTTCAGAATTTATGGGAAACATCAAAAGAGTACTAACAGGGAAGTAAATAGTAAATGGGCCTACATCAAGAAACAAAAAAGAGCTCAAATAAGTAAACCTTGCTCTCACATTGAGGAGGACCTAGAAAAAGAAGAACAAACATCCAAAAGTTAATAGATGAACAGATATAATAAAAATTAAAGCAGAAATAAATGAAACAGAGAAAGCAGAAATAAATGAAATAGAAATAAAAAAGCAAAAGATAAAAAAACCCAAAAGCTGGTTCTTTGAAAAAATAAAACACACAAACCCCTAGCAAGGCTCACTAAGAAAATAAGGGAGAGGTAGTATCAAAAAAATAGGATATAAAGCAAAAACAGGAGAAATTACAATAGACACTGCAGAAATTCAGAGGTTAGTAAGAGACTACTATGAATATTTATATGCTCACAAATTCAATAACCAAGAAGAGGTGTACGAATCCTTATAATTATAGAATCATCCAAGACTGAATAGGGAAGAAACAGAGATCCTGAACAAACCAAACATAAGCAAGAAAGTTGAAACATGAATTAAAACTCTCTCAAAAAATAAAAGTCCGAGCCAGATGGCTTCACAAATGAGATCTACCAAATTTTCAAGGAACCTATCCTTATTAAACTATTCCAAAATGTTAAAAAAGAAGGAATGCCTTCAAATTGGATTTTTGAGTCCAACTCTAATATTAAGACCAAACAAAAACACAAAAAAGAAAACTACAGAGCAATCTACTGAATACAGATGCAAAATCCTCAAAAAAAAAGTTAGCAAAACAAATCCAAAATGTATTAAAATGATCATGCACCATGATCAAGTAGGATTCATGCCACAGACACAGGGTGGTTCAATATCTGAAAATAAATCAATGTTATTCACCACATCAAATAAAGGAAGGATAAAAACACAAAGGATGACAAGAAAGTATTTCATAAGATTCAACATTTATGATGAAACACTAAAAAATCTGGGAATAAATGGGACATACCTTAACATAGTAAAAGCCATAAACAACAAAACCATATCTAACAACATTCTCAATGATGAAAAACTGAAAGCTTTTCCACTAAGACAAGGATGTCCACTCTCACCACTACTATTCAACTTATCATTGAATGTCTTGGCTAGAGTAGTTAGACAAATGAAGAATATAAAACGAATCCAAATTGGGAAAGAAGTAAAACTCATTATTTGTAGATGACATGATAGTATACATAGAAAACCGTCAAGACCACCCAGAAAAATAAATCAAAAGAATCAGGTTATCCAAGTGGAAGGGTATAATATCAAGACACAAAAATTAGCTGCCTTTCTATATACAAACAATGAACTAGAAGAGGAAGAAATTAAGAAAGTGACCCCATTTACAATCATATCAAAAATTAAACATCTAGGATAAACCTAACAAAGGAGATAAAAGATCTATACAAAGCTAACTATAAGATGTTGTGAAAAGAAATAGAAGACACAAAGAAATGGAAAAATATTTCCTGCTCATGGATGGAGAAAATCCACCTGTCAAAATGCCCATCCTGCCCAAAGCAATATACAGATTCAGTGCAATCCAAATAAAAATACCAATACCATCATTCTTCAAAGAACTTGAGTAAATACTACCAAAATTCATATGGAATCATAAAAATACCCAAATAGCTAAGGCAATCCTGATCAAAAAAGAAAAATTATGGAGGAACCACACTTCCAGACTTCAAACTATTCCATAAAGCCATAATAATTGAAATAGCATGCTGCTGGAACAAAAACAGATACACAAAGAACCCAGAAACAAACCCACACCTATATGGACAGTTAATCAATGAAAAAGGGGCCAAGAACATACACTGGAATAAGGAAAGGCTCTTCAATAAATGGTGTTGGGAGAACTGGATGGCGACATGCAAAAAATGGAAAGTATATCTTTATCTCATACCATAAACAAAAATCAAAAAAGATAAAAGACTTGGATGGAACACCTGAAACATAAAATACATCAAAGAAAATACAGGCAAAACACTTCATGACACAAGCTTTAGTGATGTCTTTAGGGATTCATCAAGGACAACAAAAGAGAACTTAATATATTAAACAGAAAAGTTTCTGCACAGTAAGAGAAACTGTAACTAAAGTGAACATACGCCCTACTGAATGGGAAAAAATACTATGCACCACACATCTGACAATGGGACTGATATTGAAGATCTACCAGGACTCACGCGGCTCAGCACAAAGAAGGAAATATCCCAAACAAAAAGTCAGAAAAGGTAAATAGGCACTTCTCTGAAGAACACATACAATGGCAAACAGGCACATGGAAAAATGATTCTCTCTTATTATCAGTGAAATGCAAATCAAGGCCATAAGGAGACACCACCTCACACTTGTGAGAATGACCTATATTGTAAGGACCAGAAACAAAAAGTGTTGGTGAGGATGTGGAGAAAATGGAGCCTCCTACAATGGCAGCAGCACAGAAGGGATAATGCTGAGTGAGTCAGTCAGAAGGAGAAAGACAAACACTGGATGGTGCCACTAATTTGTGGGATCTAGAGAAACCAAGCTAAGGGCCGTATACAGCCAAACTTAAAAATAACCCTTGAAAGGCGACTATGGGACTGAGCATGGAGAGTGGGGAGGGAGTTCGGGAACTCCAAGAACAAAGAGGGTAGGAAGCACAGTGGACTTTGGGGCAGGGCTATGGGTTATTTGGTAGCAGGTACACTAAGGGGGCTGGGTCCTACACTTCCAAAACACCAACAATAATGTAAGCAGTGTTAGTTTCATTAAAAAAATCTACCCAAAGCCATCACTGCTGGCCATGGCCCCGGGCTCCCCAGTCTGCAACTAAGGCTGCTTTCCCACCTGAGCGTCAGTTAACGCCAGGAACTGGCAAAGAATATGTGGCTTTCGTCCGTCCTGCCTGGTTTCTTGCCTCTTCAAGAAACTTACGTTCTAGGGGAGATGGATGCACAAATAATTAAATGCATAAAGCATAAAATAACACTATGGAAGAGATATATGTGTGATGGACTGTGAGGAGGCTGAGAAGGGAGTGCTCAGGTTGTTCAGCTGGGGGCACAGAGACAGCCCACAGAGAAGTTGATTCTTGGGTTGGGTCTTGAAGGAGAACCTAAGTTTTGATGGCAGGAAAAGGAAAAAGGGCGAATTTTGCACTCAAAGCAGAGGGGAGCACATGTACAAAGGCCTTGGGAGCAGCATCCCAGGGGAGGACTTGGGTGTAGGGAATAGATCAGCGCAGCTAGAACCTGGGACTCTGAGTCACGCCTGTGACGGGCTTTGCTTTGTCAACATGTTGGGCTTGTTTTTTGGTCTTATAAGGTCCTAGTGGCATCAAAGTAAGGAAATGACAGAAGCTGTCTGGCTCCATGCAGGGAGGATAACCTGGAAGGGTCATTTCGGAGTAGGAACTAGGTGGTAAATAGAGTCCTGCATCCTTCAGAAATGTACTGTCATCTCCCAGTATTTTTGCCGGTATTGGGTTTCCGGAATGAGAATAAGAGACAGGAGCTTCTTTCCTGTTGAAAGTGGCAGATTGAGGAGCAGAACTGTTACAGAGGGAAACACCCCTTCCCACTGTTTTCATCCCCCAAGGATTACACAAGTGTGTTGTGAGTGATAACACTTCAACATCCGGGCCACCCTATCAAGACCATGTTTGACATGCTGCCCTCCGCCAAGGGCGACAGGGAGACCAGCAGGTAGGGTGCCCAGTGTCAGGACTTGCTGTGATTGTCTTGCAATGCTCAAATTCGGGCTTCAGGGTTGGAATGAACAAAATTAACCAAATTAACAAAAGATGTTCTAGATCCATGATTACATGTTCCTCATTATAGTACATAATAATTAATACAGATACATAAATTCCACATAAATGTAAATTACACATCTGTGCACAGTGCCTTATATTTTGACATATTCTAATGCAGAGTAAGGGTTCTATTTCATTACATATAACGAACTTAAGCAGCTGATTATTAGGGCACTAGAACTGTGTTGCTAATTAATAGGTACCTTGCACTGAAGAATTTCTGAAAATATTTCCATTTTTTTCTTTTAAAAAAATAGACATTCTAGGGGCCTACATGGTGTCACAAGGGGTTAAACGCAACCTATGAAGCTGTCCACAGCCTCTGCAGCATGAGTTCAATCCCCGGCCTGCCAGGGAGCAACCCATATGGTGAGCAGACCTCTCCTGACTCACCCGCTGCTCCCCTCAGCAGTGTAATTCAGTCGGTCTGCCTGTTCTGTTCCCCATTCTGTCTCTGGTGAATCCTCTCACCCCCCCAAACCCACACCTCTGGCCTTGTACCCCAGCTCTTGTATGCATAAATAAATAAATCTTTAAAAAAAATAGATGTTCTGAATGCATGATGTAAAAACCAAGTGATCTCTTTTAAAAGAACTATTGTGAAATTCTTTGGCTTTGAAAGAAAATATAGTGCCAAATTTTTGCCTAAATGACATTTTAAGTGGACTCTGAATCAAGCCCAAAGGAAGGAAAACTGATTCTTTGACTCAGCAAAAGAATTCAGTCTTTGGTATCTAACACTCCATTATTTATTCGCCTGAATTGGCAGGAGAGCTGGTGCAACATTGAAGATGACCAGGGAAGCTGGGGTTCAGGGGAGTAAGAGGTAGATGAGAGAAAAGCAATCCAGAATACCTCTCAGGCCAAATCCAAACAACATTTGGGCCTTTTTTATTTGGAGGCAGAGAAGCTCCATTATTGTCTTACTGGTGCTAGTTCATTTGTTCATTGGGTCATTTTCTGAGCAAGTGCTTAAAATCAAGTATCTCACCAGGAGCTGGCCTCCAGAGAGGAAATAGCCAGGCCAGTGGAAAAAACTGGTTGCCCTCTCTGAGGCAGCCCCGCCCCGAGCCCCCTCCTCTGGACAGCTCACCGGGGCCTGCGGAAGGTCAGGCCATAGTGCTGACAGGCCAGCCCCACGGTGGGCGTGTACACGATGGGCATGAATTTCTCCACGTCTGACGTCAGCACTCGGTAGAAGAGCTTCTCGTTTCGGTCTTGGAGGGTCATGAGAATGATGTACCTTGAAAGGGAGACAAGAACCTAGTTGATGGCACGTGTCAGCCGCAAGGCCCTTGGGAGCCCACACTCAGCTACTTAGAGTGAAATGTCCAAAGTCACCCACCTCTCCTAAGCATGGTCTCATGAATCGTAGAGAATGGTAATCTATTGCCTGCCTTATGGTGCCTGTTATTATAATACATGGTGTAGGCACTGTTTTAAATATTTAACGTGACCTCATCTAACACCCCCAGTGACTGGTTTAGGTACTGTGATGTGTGCTTTGAGAGACAGGAGGTGATGGCATAGAGAAGTGAAATAACTCATAGAGATCTGAACCTAAACTATCTGACTCAAATCTGCTCTCAAAATGGTGAAATATAGTTAGTTATGGGGTTATTACGTGAGCATTAATGAATGACAACAGCATTCTGGGATGCAGTAGGGCTCCACTGGGCACAGCAGTGATGCAAGAACTGGCCTTTCCTACCACCCAGACCAGTTCCTGTCATATGCAGAGTTCACAAGTCCTTGAATTTCAAGCAATCTCAGGAGGCCTGTTCCCTCTTACCTAATCCTGAAATCATTAAGCCAGGAAAGGGCCTTTCATTCACACTCCTAAAAAGGCAAAAAAACACTGAGGAAGGAAACCTGGGGGCAATTCACAATGAGGTGCAAATGACAAATGGTATCATACATAACTTTCCTCTCCACAGTTGGAGGGAAGGGGAGTATGCAAGCCCCAAGGCCCAGGCATGCCGTGGAGTGAGGCAGGTGCTCTCGTGGGAGAACTGTCCCATGTCTGCTGGTAGTGTCCTGGGTTTGAACCTAGCTCTGCTGTTTACCAGTTGTGTGACTTTGAGTAAGTCTGTGACCTTTTAGGGCGCTCTCTGCTTCTTCCCCATCAATGTCACTGGCCCAGAACTAAACATTGTTTTAGAAGGGCTCTCAGGAAGGGAGGCTTTAGGCTAAGAATAGCCATGATCTCCAGCCATTACCCGTGTAAAGGTCCCCATACCAACCAGTCATTTGTATACATCTCTTCCCAGTCCTGCGTTCTGTAATGTCAGGTTGGCAAAATCGACAGCTATAGTGGGAGTGTTTATAACATGGAATGTATCAAATACTATAAGTCAGCTCTCCCCACCCCCATTTCCTGCCTGGAGAACCAGTTAAATATTTACCAGCCTTTTCCCAAAAGAAGCTGGGAGACTCCTTGGTATTTCCCCAAACACTTGATGAACTAGGGACACTGAAAATGAGTGGCTCAGAGGCGAGAGTCCGTCCAGAGAAAAACCCTCTAGAACTGGAGTCTGACATGTTTCTGCATCCAGGTAAGTGAGAGGAGGGGAGGATTTGGGACTTTCATTTTTAGAATTTAATATCTTTAGGAAAGTGGATTTTACTTTGGACTTTAATTCTTTGTCAATGTAACAAAAGAGAGGAGGTTCAGATTGTTTAGCGTTAAGGTATACCTCACATTGTTAGGTAGGTTCACTGTGCACTTTCTGTTTGCTTTTCAGGTTGCTCTATCCCATTAGACCCCATCTGAGTGGGAGAAACAAAAGAGAAAGAATATTTAATCTGGACTGCAATATGGCTTTGAAGTTAATGTAGATAATATTCAGAGTTTAGTGCTTCTGGAGTAGGGGTTGGGGATTTGGCAAAGACTTGCTTATCCACTGCTTCCTAGTAACAGATGGTATGGGGGGGCATAGGAAGATGGGTGCAGGATGAACTTGTCATGCCACTGAAGGCTACCCGTATGGGGACAGCCACACTCTCAAGACCCAAAGTCTTGGCCAATCAGCTCTATAGAGATGTAGGAGGAACGCTTATCTTCTTACATTTCTGCTGGAGGCCATAGCCAGGCAGCATATTTATTTAATAATGTCTTAAAGAGTGCCCACTGCACAACAGCCACTGTTCTATGCATGTCACAAATACTAATGCATTTGATCTTTGCCATAACCCTAAGAGTTAGGTACCATCAATCTATATATACTTATTATACAGAAGGGGACTGGTTCTGAGAGGTGGAATAATTTTTGCTCTTCAGGGTTAGAATGAGGATTTGAATCAGTCTAGTATTATTAGCATCTGCACTGCTGCCACGAAGCTCTGATGCCTCTTATCTGTGGCATTGCAGAGAGGCTGTTTCAGTACAGACTCTGAAGTCAGCTACCCCTGTGTTCAAATACTGGCTGAGCCAATTCATGGCCAAATTGCTGGGGAGGTCATTGTCTTCTTTAGTGAAATCGATGAAGCTAAACTTGGGAAGACCCCCCAACCCCCGCAATTTGGCTCTTCATGTCTCTATTCCCAAGAACCCAGAGAAAAGACAGGGTTACTAATTGCTCCCCATAAACTTCCGACATATGTGACCCAAGGTCCATTTGTCCTTCAGGCCCTAAAATGGACCTGTCCGTTTCTCTGTTCCTTCCCCCGTTCCCCTTGTTTCAGGCGCCAGGGCCATGTACCCCTTCCTTGTCATACCTGTCCCTGCCTCTTTGCGCACCTCTTCCCTGAGTGAAATGCCTTCCGAGTACCCTGCTACTGTCTGCTGAAGCATTATCAGAGCTTCTTGTGACTCCACCACTTCCCTGGGGCCCTCCCAAATGCCATTGGCTAGAATTTGGAATTCAGTTTCTTTTCCCAGTTTTCCAGGGCACATCCATCATAATGCACACATCCATCATAATAAGTGCTGTCCTTCCATATCTTTTGGGAGGGCAAGACTGAGATTGGGATCTCTTGGAGTTCTTAGCCTTTTCTAGCCAGAAATATCGAGAAAGCCCTCTGTGGAACACCACAGAAGACAGAGAGCTCAGCCCAGGACCAGGGAGGAGAGAGATGACTTGAGGTACTGACTTGTCCAGGTCGCTCTTCTGCTGCTCATAATATCTCATGATGCGGAGGACCTGGACATCCTGGCTTAGGAAGCAGGGGGGGATTAGGCCATGGATTCCAAGCTGTAGTCTTTCTTCAAGTGTAAAGGCCATGCCCTGGGAAGTATAAGAAAGAAATAGACACACATAAATGTTAGGCAGGAGCCCAAGGAACAGAAGAAATTCTATCCACAGACAGGCAGAAGTTACTGTGATTCAACAGAAAGGGTCCTGGACTCAAATCCCTCATCTACCAGTTAAGCAGCCAGACAATCTGAGGCTGGTTATACATTGACTCTTCTGAACTTCAGCATTCTCCTGGAAAAGTGGGGAAATGTCTACAGCTTTTTTTTTAATATATGTTTTTAGAACACTTTTAGATTTACAGAGAACTCGAGAAGACAGTGGAAAGAATTCCCATATATCCACTCTTCCAGTTTTCCCTTTATTAATTAATGACATCATGCACAATCTTTAGCATTAATGAACCAATAATGACAAATCACTATTAAGTAAAGTTCAAGGTTTATTACAATTTCCTTACTTTCTCTCTAACTAACCTGAGGTTACGGGTTTGTAGAAGGAAGATCGCAGGTGAAGAACCATTTTCACTGCATTACGTCAAGGTACAAGCTACCAACATGATTTATCACCTTTTATATCACCCTTGATCACCTGGCTCAAGTCGTGCCTGTCAGGTTTCCTCACTGTGAAGTTACTTTTTTTTTGAAAATTCTAAACTGTTTTCCATAGAGGCTGCAACATGTCCTATTCCTACCCATGATACAGCAGGGTTTCAGTTTCTCCATATCCTCAACAACATGAGTTATTTACTGCTGTTGTTTTTCATTACCACCATCCTAGTGCATGTGAAGTGGGATCTCATGGTTTTGTTTGCATTTCCCTAATTACTTTTTTTAAAGATTTATTTTTATGTAAGAACTGGGGTACAGGCCAGAGGTACAGGAGGGTGAGAGGATTCACCAGAGACAGAGTGGGGAGAAGAACAGGCAGACTGACAAAATACACTGCTGAGGGGAGCAGCAGGCAAGATGGGAGAGGTCTGCCGCACCATGTGGGTATCCCCCTGGCCGGCCGGGAATCTAACCTGCACTGCAGAGTCTGCAGACAGCCCCACAGTGTTGCACTCAACCCGCTGTGCCACCAGGGAGGCACCATTTCCCTAATTATGCTGAATATTTTTTTCATGTGCTACTTCCATTTGTACACTGTCTTTGATAAAATGTTTATAGAAGTCCTCTGTTTTTGTTTCACTGGAACAAAGCTGCTGGAACTGTATGAAAGACAGCTATGTAACTATTTGAAAGGATGATTCACAGATACTTCTCAAAATACTCTCCACACATAATGATTCCAAACTCTTTTTTTCATCAAGGTCAATAGTCACCAGCTCATAAACACTCTGTGCTGGACACCAGCTCTGCCAGCACAGGGAGACACCGAGGTCCCCGTTTCCTGCAAAGGCTCACTCTGGAGCCTGGGCACCTTCACCAAACATCTGTAGTCTGGCAACTGCTCACAGGCTTGGAGAAGACTGTGACCATTTCTCTGTGGCCCCAAGGATCCAAGGGAGGCCTCAGCGTTTACTTGTGTTATCCTATTTAATAACAGCCCATTTTTTTCCACCAAGTTAAGAGTTTCCCTTGGCTGACTGCCACCCACTTCTTTTGTATTTGAGGAAAAAGTATGACTGTTTAGCAACTGATAATTTTGGGGATTTAAAAAATATTTCTAGATGCTTCCTTTAATCTTGAAGTTAATGTTAAAGCAACTTCAGATTTACAAGTCCACAAAACAAAAATACAAGCACTTTAGTTCTATCATCTTCTCCAAGATGCTTTACTACAGTGTAGGGGAAATGTATTAGAACTTATATTTCTCTACAAAAAATTGGTAGGATTTGCATAACATAGAGGAATTGACAGTGAGCTTGTTATTCATTTATTTCTCATTGAGAAATTACCTTTTCTGTGATCTGGGTAAATAGAGTTATGGATCATACTTTCTATTTTTTTTTTTAAGATTTATTTATTTATACAAGCACTGGGTACAGTCAGAAGTGCGGGAGGGTGAGAGAATTCACCAGAGCCAGAGAGGAGAGCAGAACAGGCAGACTGACGAAGCACACTGCTGAGGTGAGCAGCGGGCATGGCAGGAGAGGTCTGCTGCTCTATGTGGGTTTCTCCCTGGCAGCCTGGGGATCGAACTGGCGCTGCAGAGGCTGCGGGCAGCTTCACAGCCCAGCGCTCAACCGCTGCGCCACTGGGGAGGCCCCATACTTCCTATTTTTAACAAAGCTCTCAAAATAGGACAAGTGAATTTTAAACATGGCTGACACTCTTAGTTATACAGTTAAACCCTGAATAACTTAAGAGCTAGGGATGCCCTCCCTCTTCCCCACCCATCAAACATCTGTGTATAACTTCAAAATTTACATAAAACTTTACTACTAATAGCCTGCTTTTGACCAAAAAGTTTACTGATAACAATTGATTAATACATGCTTTGTACAGTATATATGTTACATACTGTAGTCTAATAATAAAATAAGCTAGAAAAGGGAAATGTTATTAAGAAAATCACAAGAAAGAGAAAATGCATTTATAGTACTCAGATCTTTGTGGTATTCAACCAAGACACATAAATACCACATAGCATTTATTGTTCCTCTGAAATGCCTCAACTGTTACAGATCATTCACTCTAGCCAAATGCACCTACTAACCTGCTACAGCTTTTCCCAGGGATCCTTTGGACCTCCCTAAGGTGCAACAACTAATAACTAATGGATCAATATCTGGCAAAAATTTGGCCTCAAGACCCTGTTTTAGAGCTAAAGGCCAGGGACTGTTTCCATTGGTCACTGCCTCTACTGAAACAGTGTTAATCTATTATAACTCACTGCTGAGTTTACCTATTATCATCTTCCCTAAATGAACATCTCCGGCCCAGCAAGTAAACTCTACCTGTGAGCTTAGCCCTGCACACATTCCAAGGGCAAAGCTTATCGGCACTAGAGAGAAGATATTTGAATAGATTCCACTGTAAAATGTCATGACTCAAGGCAATAAGTTTTCAGGAGGTGTCCATGCCCCAACCTCCTGCTGTCGAGAGATCCAGGCTTTCTGGTACCCATTCCTTCTGATTGACTTCTCCAAGGGAAGGCCTCACAGCCCTGCTTGGTCATCTTCCTAGAGGCCTCTGCATGCAGAGGTCTGCTGTGTACTTGACTACCTCTCCTCTCTTGTTTATTACACAAGACCTATGAGCTGCTGCTTTGTACCAGGTCTACCAGGTTAGGCACTGGGAGTCCTAAAGGAATAGTCCCGGTAATTGTCATTAGTCTCCGAGGAGATATGTGGATCCACATATTATGGCTAACCTGGGGCTCTGCATATAAAATGGAGTGCTGGCTGTTCATGTGTTGTGGGATTAAGTCAACTAATGCATGTGAAATTCTCAGCACAGGCACAGGCACACAGGATGTGCTACTGAACACCAAATGATTTTGTTTGTGGGGCAAGGTGACATGTGAAAGCTCATGAGTAGATACTTAAGGGTCATCAGAAGCTAGTCTGGCAAAAGGAGGTTGGAGGAACAGGGGCTGGAGTGATATCACCACATCAACTCTAGCTTCTTGTCCAATGGCTCAGGCAAGGCTCCTATCTCTGCAATTCTGTGCCTTCTCACCATGCCCCAGGAAGCACCTTATTCTGGCTGCCAGTCTTAGAGGTCAGAGAGGTTAAAACTTGCCCAAGGTTATACAGCAAGTCCATGGCAGAAGCAAGAGTAGAACCCAGGTCCACACACTCCTACAGTTCATACTCTCCTCTGAGCTAGCAGCTGCTCCTAAGAGATAACAGATGAAACAGGTCATTGACTAAGTTGACCTTTATTCAATTAGAGATAGAATTATTCTGCTTTTCGAAGTAGAGTCAGTTACCTCAGTGGTTCAGCCAGCATTCAAAAGCTTCAAAAAGTCTTAGCAAACACAAACTTGAGAATAGCCTCCCTCACATACATACTTCTGTAGCCAGGTACAAAATTAAAAATCCAGAAATACATCATGTATTCCTGAAAGGGGTGTGGAGGATAGTTTGCTCATTACTGCCAGAACCAACCCAGCTTTGCGCTTAAAGACCAAGCTTTGGTGCTATGGGCAGCAAATGTATGGAGGCTGCCTGTGACTTTTCATATGATATACACAAGCTTCTTATTCTAGCTGGGAGATAAAATTCAAAATTCCTTCCATGGGATAATGACCAGGATCTGGAAGTGTTGTTCTCATGCAGTCAGTATGGGAAGGGAACAGGAAGTCAAAGTTCTACATTCATTTCCTCCACTTTGGGGCTGTTCTTCATCTCTCTGAGTCTGCAGCCTTTGCTGGGTGGTATTAAAACGAGAACATGAATGTTGATATCTCTGTAAATTCTAAGGCGTGGTGGAAAGGTTTAGAAAAGGTTCTGATTATTGCCATTTCAAATCCCTCTAGGTTCAGGACTATAAGCAATTTAGCAATTGTACTTTATGACATTTACTTCCTTTCTAGTCTCTTTTCCCTTCAAGCAATGGAACTTTTGAGGGTACGGATTATGTCTAAATGAACTATGTGCCCCTTTTACCCAGCACAGTAACTGGCACAGGGTAACATTCAAAAAATACATGCACAGATGAATAGATTCATTCATTCTTTCAACAAAAATTACTAGGTTCCCCTATATACTAGATGCTATTTTAGACCCTGGGGAACCAGCTGTGAAAAGATAGAAGGTTCCAGTTCTCTCTAAACCCCAAGTGAATCATTCCTATTGCAAATTAATAACAGCCTTTGTCACTGCTACATCAATGCATTTGTCTGCCCAGCACTGAGCTGCAGGAAATGTTCTATGCCTGCACATGTTCTCTACTGTCTTCCCTACACAGCAGCCACTGGCCTCAAGGTAGTACCTGAAATGTGGCCAGTATAACTGGGAAACTGAATTTTTCGTTTCATTTTAATTAACTTAAAGTAAACAGTCACATACTGTACTGGACAGCAAAGAACATGTCCACATTCAGAATCATGTGCAGCCTGGTCTATGGAAAAGCATGTGGAAC